CTAGCACAACTTCAGCAATTCCTGAATTAGCTACAGATCCTGAATTAGAGAAGAAGCTGCTGCATCATCTCTCTGATCTGACCTTAACACTGCCCACTGATGCTGTATCCATCCGTCTTGCCATCTCCACGGTAATGACTGGGTAGACTAGGGGTCTACCACTAATTTTCAGTTCATGGTCAGTTTCTTACTGAGTTACCCTCCCCTCTTATCTCTAGCCAGATGCCCCTGCCACTCAAGATGGAGTGGAAAGCCTCCTGCAGAAGTTTGCAGCCCAGGAGTTGATTGAGGTAAAGCGAGGTCTCCTACAAGATGATGCACATCCCACTCTTGTGACCTATGCTGACCATTCCAAGCTGTCTGCCATGATGGGAGCCGTGGCAGAAAAGAAAGGCCCTGGGGAGGGAGCAGGGACTATTGCAGGGCAGAAGCGGCGTGCAGAACAGGACTCAACAACAGCAGCTGCCTTTGCTAGCTCTTTAGCCTCTGGACTGGCCTCTTCGGCATCGGAAGCAGCCAAGGAGCCAGCCAAGAAATCAAGGAAACATGCTGCCTCAGATGTTGATCTGGAGATAGAGAGCCTTCTGAACCAGCAGTCCACTAAGGAACAACAGAGCAAGAAGGTAGGGCTCACATGGAAATACCCTCACAGTATGCTTTGAATTATACCTGTGATTGAGAAGGATTTACTGTTAATGCAAGATTTTTAAAATTCAGGGTTTAGAGCAGGAGTTCCTAAGTGGAAATATTTTTGCACTACTACTGTACCCCACCAAGGACTCTGGCAATGTTTAGCGGCTTTTTTTGTTTGTTTGTTTTGTTGTTAAGATTGATTTATTTATGTGAAAGGCAGAGTCACAGATCTTCCATCTGCTGGCTCACTCCCCAAATGGCTGCAACAGCTGGAGCAGGAGTGGTCTGATGCTAGGAGCCTGGAGCTTCCTCCAGGTCTCCCACACAGGTACAGGGGCCCAAACACTTGGGCCATCCTTCACTGCCTTCCCAGGCACAGTAGCAGAGAACTGGATTGGAAGTGGAGCAGCTGAGATTTGAACCTCCCGGTTCCCATATGGGATGCTGGTATCTTAGGTGGTAGCTTAACCCGCTACACCACAATGCCATCTCTCAAGACTTTTTTTGTCCGAACATGAGGGAGTGCTACTTGTATTTAGTGGTTAGAATACAGGGATGCTGTTGATGTCCTAGTATATTGTATAATACAGCAACGCTCCCTGTCCTTGAGCTGTCTGGCCCAAAACTTAAGAGAATCTTTCCTTGAATTTGTTTGGAATAATCCTCAGATCAAGAGGATACAAATGCAGAAATACAGAAAGATCAATTGAGAGGAATACTGAAGACAAGTCATATGGATTGGTAGTCCTGGAAGTTGATGACTGAACAATGTGAATTAGCCTTGTAATGGTTCTGAGTGTAACTGTTGGACCACATGAATTCTCAGCCTTTTGCCACTTTTAATTCTGAGTTCAAACAGGTTAATAATGGGAGGATAACCAGAGTGCCCTCCTTACAGAATTAAGCTGAATAGTAGTGTTAGTAGTGTGCCTTTGTTCATTACACAGTAAGCATAAGTGGTTTTTGTGGGAAGGAATGCTTTCCTGGGGAGGGAAGATTAACTTACTGCTTAACAGTAAGTTAAATCATTTAGTATTTTAATTCCATCCCGAAAGGAGATTTTGATCTGGAAATAGAGAAATCTTTTATCTTAGGGCTGCAGTTTTCCCATATTGTTAGTTCATATGTCAAACAGAATTTATAGAGGTGGATTAAGAGATAACTTGATCTACAAACCCTTTTAAGCCCAAGGCTGCTTCTGTCACAGGTCAGTCAGGAGATCCTAGAGCTGTTAAATACTACAACAGCCAAGGAACAGTCCATTGTTGAAAAGTTTCGCTCACGAGGTCGGGCCCAAGTGCAAGAATTCTGTGACTATGGAACCAAGGAAGAGTGCATGAAAGCCAGTGATGCCGATCGACCCTGTCGCAAGCTGCACTTCAGGTCTCTTGGGAAGGAATGAAGTGGGATGGGTTTTCAAGAAGCAGTCGTTCCTTTGTCAGTGGGGCTCTTGTCTTTAACCCCATCATTCAACTCATGCTTTATCCAAGTCCTCCAGACTTTGAATGTGTACTTTTAGAGGTGGCTTTGTGTGTGAAGGCATACAGGCTGTACTCCCAAACAGGTGTGAGATTTTTCCAAGTGCCCCTTTGTAGCAACAAGGCATGTGTCTTTGAACCACAATGAAAGTTTAAGGTTCCCTGGAAGGAGGAGGATCTTAGGACACAGAGGCTGATTAGGTCAGTGTTTTATTCTACTCTAACCAATCAAGTCCTTCCTGCCCAGAATTCCTTTCTGTGGTGAGAAAAGATAGCCAAGTCTTTGCTTAGGGAGGAATTAGGATAATTTAGTGTTAATTATGGACACCATGCTTCCTGTCTCATAAAACTGCTGGAGGAAGTTCTAATGAGAGAAAAAATTAAGGAAGGGTAACAAAAGGGCTTTTTGAAACCATTTGGAACTTGAACTGTGGGACTTTCCTCCATGGCACCATCTTGATTCTGATTCTCCTTTTTTATTTCCCCAGACGAATTATCAATAAACACACTGATGAGTCTTTAGGTGACTGTTCTTTCCTGAACACGTGTTTCCACATGGATACCTGCAAATATGTTCACTATGAAATTGATGCTTGCATGGATTCTGAGGCTCCTGGCAGCAAAGACCATACACCAAGCCAGGAACTTGCTCTTACACAGAGTGTTGGAGGTGACTCTAGTGCAGATCGACTCTTCCCACCTCAGGTACCTGACTGTTCAGAAAACTCTTCTTACAGACTTATATAAGTCTGAGTAAGGCAGCCGTGCATGTAGGAAAACAGGCATAATTCAGCATTCTTTCTTGCTGATTGGGAATGGAGTGGGATAGGCTTAATAAGGGAATAGGAAAATGAAATGGAAAAGAGGGACTGGGGCCATGAATCTGAGAGTGAAGCAAGGGAAGATGACCAAATACCACCTCATGCAGTGGATCTGTTGTGATATCCGCTACCTGGACGTCAGTATCTTGGGCAAGTTTGCAGTTGTGATGGCTGACCCACCCTGGGATATTCACATGGAGCTGCCCTATGGGACCCTGACAGATGATGAGATGCGCAGGCTCAACATACCAGTACTGCAGGATGATGGCTTTCTCTTCCTCTGGGTCACAGGCAGGTAATGCGGTTCAAAGATACATAGGTATGGGCAGATATGCAAGAGCCTTCCAAAAGTTCATGGAAAAATGGAATTAAAAGATGCTTACTTTGGTGCAGAAAAAATGTGAAGGCCATGCATGCATGGTTCTTTCATAGTATACATTTCCATGAACTCTCTGAAGACCCTTTGTAATAAAGTAAGCACTGGGTGGGAGATAAAAGCCTGGGTTTTCCTAGCTCCTATTAAAGTATGACAGCTCAGCCTTTTTCCTCCCCTACTGAGCCCAGATACTTGTTTATAGCATGAACGATACTTTGAATTATATCTAACTCTTCATTTGCTCATTATGAAACAGTAAGGTCATTGAAGATACTATGTTTATCTTTTTATTCTTAGATATACTCTGTTGCCCTGATAGTGTTTTGCATGTCAGTGTTCACTGAAAAGATGTTTCTAACACAACAGATCTCTTGAAGGGAGAAAAAATTAGCATACAGGTAATTGTTCACCCTTTACTTCTTTCTAGGGCCATGGAATTGGGCAGAGAATGTTTGAATCTCTGGGGGTGAGTAGCAGTTGGTGTTGATTTGAGTGAAATGCTTCATGTTTATATACCTAATCTTATACCAGGATGCTTCAGTGGTATTGCCCCAAAACTGAAGACCTGGGTAAAGCTCTAGTTCTCTTTTTCATGCTTCACAGTTATGAACGGGTAGATGAAATTATCTGGGTGAAGACAAATCAACTGCAGCGCATCATTCGGACAGGCCGGACAGGTCACTGGTTGAACCATGGAAAAGAACACTGCTTGGTGAGCAGCAGTGGGGCCCGAGTCAGTGGGTGGAGCACAAAATCGAATTGTTTGATTAGACTGTGGTTTCATAAGTTAATCTGTTCTCTGTGGTGAGCAGGTTGGTGTTAAAGGAAATCCCCAAGGCTTCAACCAGGGTCTAGACTGTGATGTGATCGTAGCTGAGGTATGTGCTTCTTCAGGTATCCAAAACTTCCACATTTCATTGTGTGTTAGATATAATCTCATCTGTTCTTGTTTGGATCATAAAGATATAGGAAAGGCTAGATGTGCAATCTTGCATAAAAAGTAGTTAGAATCTTTATTTCTTCCCAGGTTCGTTCCACTAGTCACAAACCAGATGAAATCTATGGCATGATTGAGAGACTGTCCCCTGGCACTCGCAAGATTGAGTTATTTGGACGACCACATAATGTGCAACCCAACTGGTAACATGACTGGAGAATAGGCTAGCCCCAAAGATAAAACTGTTTATAGTCAAGGGATGAATTCTGTAGAGCTTTATCTCATATCCCATTAGTGGCTTCAAAGTAATCATAAGCCAGTTAAGCTTGTATTTCAACTGTTTTGTGGAGTTCTGCAACATTCAATGGAAACCCAGTAGGTTCTAGGTCCATAGCTTTGTAAGGTCTCTGCTTCTTAAAATCTGAAGATCTTCCCTCATTCTATGAGATGTACTGAATGTGCCCCCTGGTGGTCACTAAGTATCCATTTACTTTGTCAAAAATATTAGTAACTTTTATCCCTTTAAAACACCTGCAAGTAGCATTTCACTTACCTAAGAATACTTGCTGACAGCAGCAACTTACTGAAATAAGCATGGCAAGGCATCAGGTATTAACCCTTAGGTAATACCCAGCCTGTTTTTAATACCGAAACCTGTGCCAGTTCTTAACCAGTCATGCTACAATATACTATTCTAACGTTGAGGCTTTTTAATGAGAATAGGCATGAATATTTGAGATAACAGGCAGTCAGTCTTAACAGTATTAAGCCCTTTATTCCAGGATTTCTGATTTGCTCCCTTTTCCCTTGTTTTAGGATCACCCTTGGAAACCAATTGGATGGTATCCACCTGCTAGACCCAGATGTGGTTGCACGGTTCAAACAAAGGTATCCAGATGGTATCATCTCTAAACCTAAGAATTTATAGAAGCACTTCATTACAGAGCTTATCGTCCATAGCCATGGCTCTGCAAGCTTTTCAGAACAGCATTTGTACAGTAGCTTTTTTTCTTATTTAAATAAAAGTTTGTATTTTGAGATTTTGAGATCAAATTTTGGTTCTGCCACTTAACAGTGTGTGATGTTGTGCAGTTCATCTACGTATGATTCCTTGTATGTGAAATGGGACTATTAACTACCTCATTGAACTGTTGTGAGGGTCGAAACTAAGTAAACCCATGGAAGGCATTAAAATGTCAATCATTATAAAGAGAACCATATAGGATCAAAGTGGTTAGCAATCAGTACTATGTGAACATGATTAAGAAAGGGGTTTTCTAGGATAGCATTTCTCAAGAATTTGAGTTTCACTCAAGATTATAATCACAATTTGCCTATTCTGTTATGTTTCTGCTAGTAAATTATGCTTTAGCTCATTTCCAAGAAAAGTCAAATAAGCACGTCTTGGGTTAAGGAAGTGGCTAGGTATGCAGTTGGCGTATACAACACCTCTGGCCTCTTAAAATATATTTCATCAACACAAGTGAATACAATTTATTTATACTTTGGTGAACCGTGTATTAATTTTAGAATAGAGTTCTGCCTCTGACACTCAAACTGTAATAACAACTCACGTAGGGAAGGATACTGACTACAGAAATAGTATTTTAATGAGAAATACATAAAAGACTCCTGGATGATGTCATTATCCCTACAATCCAGTGTGCCTACTTGTGGAAAACCTTGGTTCTCAAGGCATGTATTGAGGTGATGGTAGCAGTTGTTCCCTGTTTTAAAGGGAATCTTTAAATGTTTAATGCAATCTCATCCTTTTAAAGATATGTACACATATCTTTAAAAAATATGTACACATGGTGGTATTTCTCCTAGCTGAGTACTCTCATTTTAATAATATATCTTAGGCAAGTCCTATGACAATTCGACAAAATTTCCTCAAACAACCCCACTACCACCCATACCCCTTGATTTGCTTGTCTATACTCCTTCACCCTTTGCTCTGCTATTAACATCACTGGTTTTTCTGCTTGTAGTTCAAAGTAAAAAGCAATTCCAGAGTACAGTAAACTCAACGACCCTGCTCCACAGTTTGGCCTCTGCTGAAGGGAAAAAAAGAGGGGGAAAGCATGAAGAGCCATCATGAGTTGAGATCAGGCACTAACAGAAGCTCAGCTTGTGTTTCAAACACAGTTCCCAGCAGGTAAATCTTCACTGGCTTCGAGAACAGGAAGGACTATTTCACAAACACAACTGTATTTGCATTTCTAGAGGCTACCCAGGCCAAGAATACATCCCTAAGAGAGAAAAAAAGACACAAACTTAGAATTACATTCTTAATATATTCTTTTAAACTCAAATAGATTCCCAGATAACTTCTTGCAACTCAAGGGAAGATAGGACTGTAAGAACAATGGACCTAAAAATCAGAAGTCAAGGCACAGGGCTGGCACTGTGGCATAGGTACATCTTCTGCCTGTAGTGCCGGCATCCCATATGGGTGCTGGTTCTAGTCCCTGTGTTCCTCTTCCAAGCCAGCTCTCTGCTATGGCCTGGGAAAGCAGTGGAGGATGGTCCAAGTGCTTGGGTCCCTGCACCCACGTGGGAGACCTGGAGGAGGCTCCAGGCTCCTGGCTTTGGACTGGCCCAGCTCCGGCCATTGCAGCCACTTGGGGAGTTAACTAGAGGATGGAATTTTCTCTCCCTCTCCCCGTCTCACCGTCTAACTCTACCTCTCAAATAATTAATAAATTAATTTTTAAAAAGTCAAGGCATTGCTCATCTGTGAAGCATTTGAGATAGGAAATGCAAATGCCTTACTTAATGGATGTAAGTAATTCTCAGGAAAATTTGGGAAGTAGTGCAAAATCTTTACAACTTCTCCCCCCCCCCCCCCGAACATCTTATTGTGCTACTTTCCACTTAACCCATTCCTCCTCACATTCTGATCCCTTAAGTAGTCTGATTGTACCACAGATTGAAAAGCTAATATAAACAGCATACATAAAGGTATGTGGTAATTGAAAAGGATGAGCTTCTAAATAGGTCCTTTTTAGCTGTGTGGCAAATGTAAGCTTGTTTCAAAGACAGCAGCTTTTCTAGTAGCCTTTCTAATATGAGAGTATTTCAGAAACTACATGGAGAAAGGAATTAGCAGTTTATTTTGATGCAAAAAAATTGAAATCCATGTAGTTATATATATATTACCCATGAAGTTTCTGAAGACCCTGCATATACATGTACAACATACTCTAGCTAACATGCAGTAACACTGGTTACATGTTTTCCAACACAACTTAGCACAACCAGAATTACAAGAAGGGGAACTGTAGGCTTACCTGCAATGCTTCACCACACACTCATTGCTGCAGTATTCGTTATCCCAGTCCTTACTCACAACGGGAGGATTCTCACAACCAGACCTCACACATCGAGGCTGGGGTGAGAGTGTCACTGGAGACCCACTCACCAATTCAACATCCATCTGAGTAGGAGACTCCACCTATGAAAGGAAGAGAGCACCTGGGATAGATCAGACTGCCACCTACCAGCAAGCTAATCCAGTCATCCCCAGGAACCAGTGAAGGGCTAGGTGAGTTTTTGGTCTCCCCCTCTACAGTCCTAGTTTAGAGCTTTACCAAGCAGATTGACAAGAGTCTTCCTATCTGGAAGACTAACCAGGACTCTTACATTTTAACCTAACCCATCATTAACTATTTCACACTTGAATTATATTCCTCTTAATAGTATCAAAGGTTCATGTGAAGAGGCTGAGTTACTTCAACAAAGCTCAATGGGGAGGGTCAAAAGACAAAATGCAATACGTTAGGAAAAGTGAAAGAATTTGGAGTTCATAAAGTTCGCTGATGGTAGGATGTTATTTTCTTTTAAATGATTGCATCAGGTTGAGCTTTTGGTTCAGCAGTTAAGAAAGCCACTTATGTCTACATTCCCAAAAAGAGTGCCTGATTCAAGTCGTGGCTCCTGTTTCCAGTCCAGTTTCCTACTAACATGCACACTGGAGGCAGCAGGTGGTGGCTCAAGTGCTTAAGTCTCTGCCACCTACATGGGCAATCTGGATTGAGTTCTGGGTTCCTGGCTTTGCCTGCCCCAGTTCTGGCTGTTGTGGGCATTTGGGGATGGAACTGGCAGATGGAAAATCTCTCTATGCCTTTGAAAATAAAAACAAAGTAAATTTTTAAAAATTTAAAAAATTGTAGAACTAGGGTCTCAAACCAGACTCATATTTTCATGATAACTTGTCATGTACAAATTAAAGAAAACCAGGGTAATTGGCATCTCTCTAATGTCTCTTAAAAAGACAATGATAGAGACGGCGCAGTGGCACACTAGGTTAATCCTCCACCTGGGGCGCCGGAATCCCCTATGGGCACCCAGTTGCTCCTCTCCCAGTCCAGCTCTCAGCTATGGCCTGGGAAGGCAGTAGGTGGTGGCCCAAGTGCCACGTGGGAGACCCAGAAGAAGCACCTGGCTCCTGGCTTCTGATCAGCACAGCTCCAGCCGTTGTGGTCATTTAGGGAGTGACTCAGCACAAGGAAGACCTCTCTCTCTCTCTGCCTCTCCTCTCTCTGTGTAACTCTGACTTTCAAATAAATGAATAAAATCTAAAAAAAAAAAAAAAAAAGAAAAAAAGAAAAAAAAAAAAGACAATGCTAGAAACTGATGGAATTTCCACATTTAAAACATTCAGTGAAGCAGTGGAGACTTAGGAGGAAAGGATTTGTATTTCTGAAGTTTAAAGTCTTAATCCTGGGAGGTACAAATAACACTAGCTCAGGCTCTATTCCTTCTAACTCAACTACATTCTTGTAGGTGGGCAGGCCTCATACAGTGGTTAAGCTACTGCTTGGGAAGCCTGTGTCCCCTATCAGAGTGCTGGTTTGTGTCCTGACTATTCTGCTTCTGATCCAGCTTCCTGCTAATGTGCCTGGGAAGGTAGCAGATGATGTCCCAAGTGTTTGGGTCTCTGCTACACATGTGGAAAACCCAGATTGAGCTCTGGGCTCCTGGCCTTGGCCTGGCCCAGGTCTGGCTGTTGCAGGCATTTGGGGAGTGAAACAGTAGATGGAAGGTCTGCCACTCCGGCTTTCAAAAACCCAGTGGTCTGGGAAAAGAGGTATTCTTAAATGTTATTTTACCAAAACACCACTGACATCTTGCAGCGAACGGCCATCTACAGGATGATATGTACTGTTGGTTATCAGGCATTAAATGCTGCTGACAATCCCTTCTTTTACTGGGGTTGACCAAAGATGTATACATTTCCACTAGCCTGCAGGAAAGACTTAAAAACAGAGGCTCACCTCAGGAACAACATCTGTGATCATTTCACATATTGTCTCCGGCGAGGTTGCCTCCACCGTGTGGGCCTCAGGGCTGCTGTTCATAGGCCGCTCGGGGCTAGTTTCCACAGCTACTGGGACTAAGGTAGTCTGCATTTTCAGAGTGGGTGGAGGCACATTCTTGATCTGCAGAGGAGGTGGCTGTTGCTGTAAATTGATTCGAACTTTCTGAGGTGGTGGCTGTTGCATGGCCTGAAGTGGAGGCGGCTGCTGAAGTATGGTAACTTGCTGCTGAGTTGGGGGCTGAGGCATCTGTTGTAATGGAGGCGGCTGTAGTCGAGGTGGAGGCAGCTGCATTGAAGCAGCAGCCGCTGCTGCTGCCTGTAATACTGACCGAGTGACAATCTGGGCTTGTTGACTGGGCTGGATAGTAGCTGTGCTGGTTTGGCCTAGTTGGAGCCCCCGGGAGGTCACCACTGTGGCTGGGATAACTGTAACCATCCCTCCTTGAGACATTGTAATAGAAGAGGGCAACATCTGTTTAGTAATAATCAATTTGGTGATATTGGGCTGGCCCCCAGCCCCAGAAGATGCCTGGTTTGCCACATAGGATGAGAGAGTGGAGTTAACAACAATGGAAGGGGACAGGGCAGGGGGCTCTGTTGGAGCTGGTGCTGGAGATGCTGGGTCAATAGTAGCCATAGGAGGTGGAGAAGGAGTCTGTGATGGTGGTGCTGGATCCAATTCCACTGTTTCCACAGTGGCCTAAAAGAGCAGAAAAAATGTCACTGGGAAATTATTCTCTATCACAGGATATATCAATAATATTACCTCCCAAGAAAAGATACAGATCTTTGGGGCTGGTATTGTGGCATAGTGGATAAAGCTGCTGCCTGTGACAATCACATCCCATATGAGCCCCAGTTTGTGTCTAGGCTGCTCCATTTCCAATCCAGCTCTCTGCTAATGGCCTGGGAAAAGCAGCAGAATATGGCCCAAGTCCTTGGGCCCCTGCACCCACATAGGAGGCCCGGAAGAAACTCCAGGCTCCTGGCTTTGGCGTAGCCCAGCCCCGACCATTGAGGCCATTTAGGGAATGAACCAGCAGATGGAAAACACCTCTCTCTCTTTGCCTTTCAGATAAATAAATCTTAAAAAAAAAAATATAGGGGCTGGTGCTGTGGCACAGCAGGTTAAAGTCCCAGCCTGTAGTGCCAGCATCCCATATGGGCACTGGTTCAAGTCCAGGCTGCTCCACTTCCAATCCAGCTCCCTGCTAATGTGTGGGAAGGCAGCAGAAGAAGGCTCAAGTACCTGGGCTCCCACACCTACATGGGAGACCCAGAAGAAGCTCCTGGCTTCTGACTTCAGATCAGCTCAGCTCCGGCCGTTGCAGCCATTTGGGGACTGAACCGGTGGATGGAAAACCTCTCTCTTTCTCTAGCTCTCTCTCTAACTTTGTCTTTCAAATAAATAAAATAAATCTTAAAAACTATATATATATAGATTTTTTAAAAAGGAGTAGCTGTGTAGGTACTAGCTTGGTGCAGGTAAACACTAGAAATAATAAATAAGCTCAGAAAGTAAAACTATTTTAATCAAGGGCTAGGTAAGAAAAGTAACAGGTAAGTTGTTAGGTATTTTTTAAAGCTTTTAATAATATTAATAGGCTCCACAGGTATTTGACGATATTTTGTTCCTACAACAGCTAAAAAATCATTAAGAAAAACTTACTGCTTTAAATATCTTTCTATCCTAACCATCTTACCTGACATTCTTGGTTGTCTTTATAAGCAGCTAGAGCCTTCAGATACTCTTTCTTGGCAGCTTCAGTTTTCCTCTTATACACCTACAAGAAAGACATTCTGATTAAAAAGACTCCATATGCCTATAAACAACTGGCAATTCTATATTACTCATCAATGAATGACATTCTTCTCCATCTAATTAGACACTGACAACTCCTTTGGAAAATATACTTCTGAAAGCTTTCAAGACAGGCTTCACAGCCAACTCAGTCTACAAAGCATGTCTCTAAAAAGCAAGCCAGTCATGGTGCAGCAGGTTATGCAGCTACTTGGCAATGTTCACATCCTGGATCCGTCTATGCCTCTCTGTTCTGTAACTCTGCCTTTCAAATAAAAAAATCTTAAAAACAGAGTGAAAATAAGAAAAACCCTGACACCAAAACTGTAAGATCTATCATCTGCTTAGCCTGGGACTGTGCCTATCTAGCATACTCCTTTAGGAATGTGGCAAACTGCAAAGGTGGCCACAAGAATTTCTCCCATCCTGCATAATCGCTTTTCCATCAAGAGCTGAAGCCTACTTCCCCTTCCTTGAAAGTGGGCTAATTCTGCGAGTTTTTGATCATTAGAGTGGGGCAAATATTGTGGCACCGGGGGTTCATGTGCTGCTCAGGATACCTGAATCCCATGTCAGAGTGCTGGTTTTGCACCTGGTTCCTTTGCTTCTTGTCCAGTTTTCAGCTAATGTGCCTGGGAAGGCTGCAGATGATGGCCCAAGTTCTTCAGTCCCTACCACTCATGTGGGAGACCCAAACGGAGTTCTTGGCTCCTGGCTTTTGTCTGGCCCAGCCCTGGCTGTTTTGCAGGCACTTGAGGAGTGATGGAGTGGGTGGAAAAGCTCTCTGTGTCACTCTGCCTTTCAAATAAATAAATCTTTAGGCAGCCATGCTGTTCAGTCATCATTGATGATTATAGCCACAGAAATGAACCCAAGCAAGAACAGCAGAAAAATCAACCTAATCAATTCAGAATAAGTAAAAATAAACTGCTGTTCTGTTAAGCCACTAAATTTGTGGTGGTTTGTTGAATAACAGATAACTGATACATCTATAATAAATATAGCTGTTTCAATTAAAAATCGAAATGGGGACTTACCTTGACAGACGACAGTCTAGGGTAATGACAGTCATCTTCAATACAATTACATATTTATACAGTAAAATTTTTACTTACCTTTTAAAATTCATGTTAAATATAGGTAGATTAATTTTCAAGCTTACAACAGGCCAATAAAAAGTGCTAATTTGAAACTTATAGAGTTAGCCATAGCATGCAACCTAATCAAGAAATAGCCCAATTTTAGTTAACTTCTGGGACATTAGTTGTGCACTGATTACTCATTATCTGTGTACCTGTTTTTGCTCCTCTCCAAGACTGTCCCACATGGATGCTACAATTTTGGAAACCTCTCCAAAGGTAGCATTGGGATTCTGTCCCTTGATGGCAGCCTGTGTATCACGAAAAAATAAAGCATACGCTGAAACTGGTTTCTGAGGTTCATTAGGATCTTTCTTTTTCTTCTTCTTTGGAGCCTTCTGCTTCTTCCCTGCTTCTACAACCACTGTCTTCTGGCTGGGAAGTTGCTGTAGGGGAGAAAAGAGAGAGTTACAAGCTGGAATAGAGAAGTATTTTATTTGGGGAACAGGAAGAAAATATCTTTTAAATGGGGGAAGAAATGAACTACATGTGTACAATTTTCAGAAATGCTAAAAATAGAGACAATAGTTTAAAAGACATTAGTAGCATGTGATGACCAGTAAGAATGGGGTTTGGGAAGAGTATTATTATAAACCGGAAATTGAAATATGGGATCCCATACACAGAAGAGAGCAGAAAGATGGAAGGACAGGCGTAAAGAACACTGATTAGGCTCCATAAGCCAAGGATTTTATCCTAGACTATCACAGCACAACTGATTTTGGTAAATGTCTCACCCTCCGGAAGTCCTCTACACCATCCTCATGAAGTGAACCAGTAGGTGAAGGGGTGGTTGAAAGACGATCCTCAGGTGACTGGGCAGGGGGCAGGATGGTGCCACCCCCTAAGCTCAAACCAAGTTGAGAACTCAGTTCTGACTGATCAATGGTGGTCAACTGGCTATGCCCCATCAAGCCAGATGTCATGTCTGTCATTGGTACATCAATTGTAACAGGTGGATTGGCGCTATACTGAGTTCCTATAGAATGGTCCAAGTCCTGAGAGAAGCAGAAGGACTAATAAAACATCAAATACAAAAAAGCACCTCTCTCCCCACCCCCAAAACCAGGACAACAACGTATGTTATAAATCCCCTTCATACTCAGATTGTGCCATCATTTAAACTCTACTAAACATCAAATAATTTGTCTACATAGAAAGCAAGCATTTCTAAAACTACAGAAAGTAATAAATTCAGTTCTTTGCACCCAAAGGCCTATTCTGAAATAAATAAAAATAATCAGAGAAGTTTTAATTTTGGATAGATTAACTTAGCAAATAACTTACTCAGTAACCTATAGGTAGTAAACACACAGAATAAAGAAAAACTTGCTATCAGCATTCAAATATCTTCCCAAAATAAAAGCTTTTTAAGTTGCAGTACAAATGCAATTAGAGAAGTCCTCTACACCATGTTAGTAGTTCGGAATCAAATATACAAATGAACTACTGATGATATGTGTTGGAAGAGCTGCACAATGGATTAGAATGCATACTAACACACAAGACTACATTTGGTTCAGATTGCTTTTGAATAAATCCCTCAGCGGGCCAGCTATTACACTCACATTTGAATCCTACGATGTGAAGGCCATAAAAAAAAAATCACAACAAATCATTTTCATTTCAGGGTTAACATGGGACATTTTACAACTTTAAAGTTTTTTTTTTCAAGTAAAATTGACTCAGATGGTAAATATTATTTAGGTGAAATTAAATCTGCTGGTAAGCCTATAGCTCCAAGAATAAAGCAAGGTAATATCCAAGTATAGCAAGGGATAGAATAACTTTTTCTCCCCTAACACTATGCCCATGAACTTGGGTGAGCTTGATAATGTCTTGCCCCTTACCATGGTCAAGCCCCCACTCAGGAGCCCCCCGCCCTGCTCCATCAAGCCATGGGTCATGCCCACAGGCATATCCAATGTCTGGACCCCATATTGGGCCGAAAAACTGCCATCCTGTGAGGAGGAAGGGTCTGCCAGGTCATCAAAGTGGCCAACCACATCAGAGACAGCCAGTGAAGGATCAGAATCCAAGGAGATAGGCGGGATTTCAAATTCCTCATCACCCAAGCTTGGTGTATGGAATGTCTGTAGGGGAAGAAATGGAAGAATTAGTGGGAAGAGAAAGATGCATATTCCTAAGTGAAGAAGACTGGAGATTCTCAGTGTACCTCTTTTCAGCTTGAGATCCTATCTTTTGTTAATGATTTCTTATAACTTACTTAATTTCACAAATAAATCTCTTATTTATAGCCTTGGTCATATGTCACATATAAGGCTACTAACATCAGCCACAAGTTTCATTTCTTTCATCTCCTTTCAACTTTTACCATCTTGTCTTAATTTTACGCCTGTTGTTCTAATGAGCAATTCCCTCAAACCATTAGTAAGGGCGCAGCTTTATAACCTATTTAGCTATGATGCTTGAAATATCTCTAAAGACTCAGTAACAGCGCTACTTCACAGTTATTGCTCCTGCACGATTAGATCACAGAAACTCACTGCGAACCACCCAATAATAATACTTTGTAGTTTTAGGTTCCTCTTAAGCAGATCCCAAAAGGTACTGTCATGGGAACTTTATCTCCCTCTAAAATACATACACTTCAACTTTCTTACCTCTTCACTTTGGAAATTACAATGTTAACAAGTAAAATTCCTATTTAGCCAAGATAAGGATGCCAAGATACAGTTAATAGGAGAAAAACCTTGCTATGCCCAGAAGGCAAAGCTTCTCTAACAGTTCCAAAACATATTCCTTCCTAGTCTTGCCCTGACCAAGCCTTGCTGTAAAAGAGGAAGAGAAAGCTGATTAAAGCCTAATCCTTTTCTCCGAGTCCAATTACACCAATCATACATTCTTTTTATTCTGAATGAGGACACCATCCACAGAGCTAACAGACTGATGTCTGATGCAAATAAGATAAAACTAAAATGGAAGCATCTGTAGCAACAGAGCGTTGTAACACCAAGAGACTTTGGTATCTAGTTTTAAGTCCTAATTCTGTCACTTAACAATATGACTACTTAAAAGTAAGGGAGGGAAGGAAGGAGGGAGAGAGGGAGAGAGAGATTGATTGTCCATCCACTGGTTCACTCTCCAAATGCCCACAAAAGCTAGGACTGGGCAAGGCTGAGCCCAGGACCTCATTTGAGTCTCCCACACAAGTGGCCCAAGCGCTTGTGCCAATACCTACTGCCTCCCAGATACATGAACAGGAAGTAGAGTAGCTAGGACTCCAATATGGAATGCAGGCATCGCGAGCAGTGGCTTAATGTACCGTACAACAATGCCTGCCCCAACTATATGACCTAACAGGTTTTTCTTGTATATATAATGAGGATTATAGTCAATCTGCTCATATGGTTATCAAGATGATAATGAGATTTAGTGCACAAAAGCTTATTAAGTTGCCTGATACATCTACTTAAAAATAATTACTGATGGTGCTAGTACCATGGCACAGTAGGTTAATCCTCTGCTTGCGGCACCAGCACCCCATATGGATGCCAGTTCTAATCCTGGCTGCTCCACTTCCAATCCAGCTCTCTGCTAGGGCCTGGGAAAGTAGTGGAGGATGGCCCAAGTGCTTGGGCCATGGGAGACCCGGAAGAGTCACCTGTCTCCTGGCTTTGGATCAGTGCAGCTCCGGCCATTGCAGCCATTTGCAGAGTGAACCAGTGATGGAATATCTTTCTCTCGGTTCTCCCTCTCGCTTTCTGTAACTGCCTCTCAAATAAATAAAATCTTTTTTAAAAATTACTGATCATTGTTTTTAAAGATGCTATTAATTTCCTGACTATTATTAATATGTCGCCATCCCAACCAAACATCACAGAAACCGGAATTTTAGAAACTTTCAATTCTATCAACCCAACACACAAAATAGTAAATACCAACTGAGATAAAATTAGTGTTATATGAGAAAAAGTATGCCTCTGAAATACCCAATCTTTTAATTACATTGGAAGAGAGAGAAAGTTTCCTAGAAAACAAAAAGGCAAGTATATGGGGTTCACTTCTACACTTTTCTCCTAACTTTTTGCACAGTATGTTAAAAATTTCATTTGGTATATGAGTAGCACACAGAACATAGTTATTAACAGAAACACCTAAAAATTTCAACAAGAACTGAGCTTTTCTTGGTATACAACTCATATTTTTGTTATTGTATGGAAGCATATGATTCTTTCTGAAATGTTTACATGAGCATTTTTCAGAAAGAGGGTATGAAGATTTTTACCAAATTCACAAGGAAAAAAGTTACAAGGTAACTGGATCAAGAAAAACATTAAATGTACTAAATTAACAATTATTTAATAGTTTTAAACTTTAAGGTACAGATTGTTTTTGGCAAAGCAAAAGATGTCTATCCTTTTCTGATTATCACACCAAAACAGCAACTCTGCCAAGAAAAAAAAATGATAGGGGCTGGCACTGTGGCGCAGTGAGTTAACACCATGGCCTGAGTGCCAGCATCCCATAAGGGCGCTGGTTCAAGACTCGGCTGCTCCACTTCAACTCTAGGTCTCTGCCATGGCCTGGGAAAGCAGTAAAAGATGGCCCAAGTCTTTGGGCCCCTGAATTCGCGTGGGAGACCCGGAGGAAGCTTCTGGCTTCGGATTGGCCCAGCTCCAGCCATTGTGGCCAATTGGAGAGTGAACCAGTGAATGGAAGACTTCTCTCTCTCTCTGCCTCCTCTCTCTGTGTAACTCTGACTTTCAAATAAATAGATAAATCTTAAAAAAAAAAAAAAAAAAAAACTGATACTAGTTTTTAATGAGAACTGAAAAATAAATAAAGTTCACATCCAAAACTAGTGATTAGTGTTCAAGTGGCCATCCCTCATAAATCATCTGGGACATTATCATAGCCTACTCTAAAAAATAAGACATGCAGAGATCCCATTGTTTCAGATCTATAAGGCATTCTTTCTGAGTCATCCATTGGAATATGGAAACAAATTTGTTATTCAATATCTGATTTTCACGATGGATATGCTGGTTTTGTTTTGCATCTTTCATGACAGTTATGTTGGTTTTATTTTCTTCCTTTAACATATGCAAGTTAACTATAGTTGTCAAGAATACAGAAAGGTGGGGGTTGTGCACTGTGGCTCAGCAAGTTCAGCTGCACCCCATTTCTGAGTGCTGGTTTGAGTCCTAGCTTCTCCACTTCATGATCCAACTTCCTGCTAAGGAATTTGAGAAGGCAGCAGATAATGGCTTAGTTACTCAGGGCCCTGCTACTCATGTGGGAGTCAAGGATGGAGTTTCCCCTCTCCTGGCTTTGGCCTGGCCCAGCCCTGGCTCTTGTGGGCATTTGGGGAGTAAATAAGCAGATAGAAGAACTCTGTTTCTCCTCCCCTTCACTGTGCCCTTTGAATAAATAAATCAACAAACAAACCACAGAAAGGTAAACCACATACTACAATAAAGATTCTCTAAAATCTCATTTTACTACAACTGATCTGTAAAATTATGAGTAAAATCCAATAATTAATATCTAAAGTTATTTTATTCTAGTGAATCTCATGTTACCAAATTGTACTCTACAATGTTAAACATAAGCAAAACTAATACTGTAGTAAATATTAAAGTAAAAATAAGTTCTAAAAAAAAACAAGAACATGATACAGTTACCTTTACCCTCAACTTTCCTTTCCTTCTCTATTAAATTCTTGGACTTTTCTGGGGGAAGAGATAGTTCCAGATTTATAGTTAAAAGCAAAGATGCTTAGAGGTTAAGAGAATTAAGAAAAAATATTATTTCCCTCTATTTTTACTTGAAAGAGTAACAGAGAGAGACAGAGGTTTTCTATCAACTGGTTCACTCCTCATATGTCTTTAACAGCCAAAGGGTTGCACCAGGCTAAAGTCAGGAGCCAGTAACTCCATCCAGTTTCCTCATGCGGGTGTCAAGGACTCATGTATTTGAGTGACCATCTTGCTGCCTCCCAGGGAGTGGACTGGAAGCAAGATGGAACTCAATCCCAGGTACTCTCATATGGGATGTGGCTTAACCTGCTGCATCATAATACCTGCCCCATTTCCCTCTTCTCTCAGTCCCCATAGAGAACACAAAAACCACTGTTTTTTTTAAAGTTTATTATGAATTCATTTTAGAGAAATTTACTTTAGTTCAACACCTATTCAACAGTATATAGGTACTACGAATCATTAAAATAGTTGTTCTTTTTAAAAAAAAAAAAAGATTATTTATTTATTTGAGAGGTGGAGCTACAGTGAGAGGGAGAAACAGAGAGAAAGGTCTTCCGACCACTGGTTCACTCCCCAAATGGCCGCAACGGCCGGAGTGCGCCAATCCGAAGCCAAGAGCCAGGAGCTTCCTCCAGGTATCTCACGTGGGAGCAGGGGCCCAAGGACTTGGGCCATATTCTACTGTTTTCCCAGGCCTTAGCAGAGAGCTGGATGGGAAGAGGAACAGCCAGGACTAGAATCAGTGCCCAGATGGGATGCCGGTACTTCAGGCCAGGGCTTTAACCCGCTGTGCCACAGTGCCAGCCCCAAAACAGTTGTTATTAAAAACTTGCATAGTGGGTAAAGATGGTGCCTGTGGTGCCAGCATCCCATATAAGTGCTGGTTTGAGTCCCGGCTGTTCCACTTCTGATCCAGCTCTCTGCTATGGCCTGGGAAAGCAGCAGAAGATGGCCCAATTCCTTGGGCCTCTGCACCCTCGTGGGAGACCCAGAAGAAGCTCCTGGCTCCTGGCTTCAGATCGGCCCAGCTCCATCTACAGTCACTTGGGGAGTGAACTAGGGGATGGAAGACTTCTCTCTCTCTGCCTCTGCCTCTCTGTCACTCTGCCTTTCAAATAATAAGTCTTAAAAAAAAAAAAAAAAAAAAAAAAAAAAAACTGGTATGGGGGTGGGCATTTGGCCCAGCAGTTAAGATGCCCACATACCATATCAGATTACTTTTGTTTGATTCTGGGCTTAGCTCCTGCAGACTGCACAAGGCAGTGATGATGGTTCAAATAGCTGGGTTCCTGCCACCCATGTGGGAAATTTAGATTGAACTCCTAGAGTCCAGCTTTGGCGCCCTCCCTGGCCCTGTTGCAAGCATT